TTCGTTTTTCTGCAACCGACACAAAAGTCGTCCATTTTGATACCAAGATCAGCTCTTGAATTGACGTTTCTATTACTGACACAAAAATAGGTATGTTGCTAGGCAACATATTTAGTTCCTAGGAGCTAAAGTTGAATTTTAGTTCCTAGGAGCTTAAGTTGAACTTTAGCTCCTAGGAATTAAAAAGGATGTACTGGACGTCATCAAGAATAAACAACATTGTGACGGTTCGTTAATTGGGTTGAGACGCATACCTGATTTGTTTCCGATTTCAGCAGATTTGGCATTTCATACCCATGCTGGAGATATAAATACACCTTATCATAGTTTAGTATTGGAATTATAATCATCTCAGTTAAGTATTTTTTTTTGATCAGGGAAGCCCTCAAGATTAAAATACTTGCTTGATCTGTATTTCGTTCGTTATTCTCGGGATGGATAACTTGTTTTCGAATAATCACGGCAAGCAATAGTTTTTTGTCTCAAACAACGATATTGTTCAGCCTCATTTGATTATCAAGTCAAACACAGTGAAGTATGGAGAGGAATGAATAATCACTATTATCATTGTTGATATGCTCACTAACCTAACATTTTCGACGTCTTGTTCCTATAGCTGGCACTGGCGCGGTATTTGCCATTAGAGCACCTGTTCCATACACAAATATGTCACTCTGTGGTTGTATTTATATTGAAACTACAATTCGAACATCCTAGAAAACCTAACCTGCTGTTAATGCAGGTAGAATATTCTCACCACATGGATTATTTGTCAATATTTGTTGCATTGCATACATATGGCACGGCATTGGTGTTTACTTCACATGTTTATTTGAGTTAATTGTTTCGGTTGCAGAAAAAATAGCATGTTTCATTCGGATCAAAAGTGACTGCGTTCATTAAATCTTGAATTCATTATAATTTAGTTGATGTTGCATGAATCCACCTCAGGAGGTGCTAACCGCGCTAACTTTTGACTACACCACTGGTAGGAAAGAGGGTATTGAGGATAATTTTGTTTTGGCACCCTGCTATCTATGGTTTGGTCCTTTTGATTTATGGCAGTATACTGAAGGGGAAGTACCTACCATAGACCTCCCTACACTGAATTAGAGACGTTTATTGTAGATCTATATCTAAATTGCCATATTGCGGTGACATCTGCAAATCCAAAATATTTGTGTACTCAGATATATTTGTCCAATCAACTTTTTTTTTCGAAAATTATGTTTTGTCGTTTGGGAATATGAATGTAGCTATGTATTTTATGAATAAATAATGAAAGAAAGCTGAGTTAAATTATCGGATAATGAAATTCTGAAATGATAATTTAAATGAACCAGTTTATCATATGAGTTTCGGAGATTCCTAATTTGATTGTGTAGTTCTGTTTATTTTGGGTGATCAAAAGTCCGGAACAATACTTACTCTACATCTAGGGAAATTTAACTTGAAGAGAAGGATTGAATTTGTTTGGTCTACTTTATAGAATCATTGTACAAAAAGTCAGTGACCCTATACTGTTATTTAATTTCATCCAGTTTATTTTATCTCGATTCTAATAAGAAAAAAAACCGTAATGAAATATGGAAATGCATTTCACACATACTAGCATGCCTAAAGAAATAGTGTGTGGTATCTTGTTGCCATTTACCATAGATATATATCTAAGATAATGATATAGCGAACTCAATTGTTTCGTTATTAGTATAATAGACACCAACTTGATGACTAAATTATTCTTCGTTGAACGGCAATAGCAATGGAAATAAAAGGACAATAATTGTACAATAGATGGTTTCCGGAACACCTGTGTATAGATATAGAAAATCTTCTACATGAAGTTTTTGAATACTTTATGGTTGATTATCATTGAGCTTAAGGGTCATTCACATTATAAAAAAATATGCCGACCGAGTTTTTGTTGAAATAATTACATTGTATGATAAACTCTCTTGTTGTTACAATAATTTTTATTGTTATGTATTACTTCTTATCAATTACCTGAGAAAAATGTTGTTTTCCTTCAGTATTGTCATCGAATGAAATATTTAAGTCGATTTTTAAATGCCGCCAATCATAAGGAAAAGTTGCAATACAGATTTCGAAATGGTATAACATATGGGGTTATTCAAAACAGCATTTTGTTATTAATTTTTTTCAAATGGGTCGGATTATTCAGAAAAATTAAATAACTCTTGGACCATCAACAATTTGATAACAACATATACCGTTAGTTTGATTACAAATGACCCACCCTACCAGTCCTACCACCCCACTTCTTTTGATCCATTACTTATTTCCAAATCGGGCATGGAAAGTAATATACATGTACAAAATTTTGTCATCTCACCACAGAGGGATTCGAAAATATTTACAAAAAACCTATCATCTCGAGCCCTTTTTCAGATGGCTATAACTCCCCAGGGGGGTCTTTTCTGTGCTCATGTTCATATGAACTTTTTTTTACTATTTTCATTCCTAGAATCTATGGTTGAAATCTTTCTTTTAATTTCGGGACACCCTGTAATGTGAAAAATGACAATGAAAACTGTAAACGCCTCAACAAAGCACCATCTCAAAAAAATTTCCATGGAACAAAAAATAATAATAAAAAACAGAAAAATATGTCTTGACTCCTAATCAATTAGTGATCAATTATTGTCAACCTCGAAATATGTCGATCAAACACTTTATCAAAACTCGTTTGTCTATACAGGGTGAATCTGAAAGTGTGTTTTTTTATTTAACAGGGTATATATCTCGTCAAAATAAGTTGTTTGACCTAATGATTCATTTCCCTCCAAAAGTTTTTTGGTTCGCTTTAAAACGATGATTAATAGGTTGAATATATAAAGAGGTTTTTGATTAGTGTTTTCGATGAAATGATGCAACTGTAAGGTATTTAATGCTGGACTAATAATGACTTTTTTTGCTTTTTTTGCTGAGGAAATTGAAACAAAATGTGTGGAGTCTTCTTCAAACCATTAAATACCTGTTACGGAGGTACATCTTGGATATTTTATATGAACAATTTTTTGCCAAACAACTTATTTTGGTGAAATATGTATCCTGTTAAGAAAACCTCATTTTCAGATTCACCTTGTATGGAACGGCAAAGCCATGGAATTCATTGCCTAAGGAGGTATTTCCAAGAACTTATAATCTCCAAAAGTTCAAAAAAAAATTCCATGACTACCTGCTCTCCCTAACCTCCCAAGGTACGCACAATGTTCTTCGAACATAGGGATTCCCATTCGTGCGCTCCAAGTGATAAAAAAATCATTCATTCATATATAACATTATATCTGTTATTCTATGCGATTCTATTCTTCGATGTACGATTTTTTTCATGAATATTATTAATTGTTTCCCACTGGTGTATACGCATGAATGACTTGAAAATGAATTGTAAACAAATACGAATGGAATCCAATTCGCTTCATTGAGGTTAAACTCATTATTATTCTATAACATTTCCAGTGGTGTATCCAAATAATATAATTTCACTGTTAAATAATAGTTATTTATTATACAAGGGAAAAAGTAGTAGATTTTAGCTCCAGGTTGTTTTGTCTCCCGACGCGTAGTGGATGGAAAAGAAAACCTTGAGCAAAAATCTAATATTTTTCCCGTCTATAATGCAGTATTTTTCTGTGACAGAAAGAAGGACGAAAAGTCAGAAAATTTGAAGTTTTTAACAGGAATGACACCTGCGTTGTAGGCATCTTTATCATTCTTTTGAAGTAATCAAATATCTGTCAGTCTAATTCTGTGATTAAATTTTCAAAAATTGCGAATTTAGTGGTTGTTTAGTAATTAACGTAACCACGAAGTAGAGTGGAAGATAAAATGACTTGCAGCTCTTTCTCGAAGACGGTGTTATTGGCTTATTTTTCGGAACTATATAGCACTATACAGGGTGTTTCAAAAAAACCTGACCCTCTTATTAGGGTACTGCAAAATAAGTAGGGTTTATTCAGTAAAACAAATTCCGTAACGGCATCCGTTATCAAGATACAAGGTGTTGAAAAAATAACCTAAGTGAGTGTTTTGTTCTCCCAAGAAGACTTATCGGAATAACTGCAAAATATTATGCTTCATGCCTATCCTCGGCACACTTGACAAAAGTAAATAAATTATTATGAAGTATCTTCGTCAGTAATAGGTATTCAATTAATGTTCTTATTTGTAATCCAATCGCAAATAAATTAGTATCGTTTGATTCGTCAAAATATCCTTTTTTCGGAAAGTGCTTGTCAAAAAATGATCCACCATTTGAAAAATAATAGTTAGACACGAAAATGTAATTTTGACAACTTGTCTTATTCATATCTTTCATGTTAACTTGTCACTAAAACTTCGCGATTGTAATTTTCTGATATCACCTGAGGTCCTTAGAGTAGTTTACTTCCGATCATGGCCACCTAGATGTAATTTCAAGTAGGCATAACAACTTTGGAAAATGTCACATTCTGATCTAGAATTGTCTCAGAAATCCAAAAATGTTACAATATACAGGGTGTTTCATTCAAAAATTTAGAACCGGAGCCGTTTCCGGTGAAATCAGAAGTGACCGGAAAGTGGAAAATATGTGAAAAATCTCCTCTTCACATACCATTCACCTAAACCAAATCTCATTTTGATACACCTAATGGTCTAGAAGTTATGACTTGTCTAATAGATTCGTTGACACCCGGTATGTGATATATATCCGGGAAAGAAGCACTTACCAATTTTATGTACCACGTGTATGTGACATTGATTATTTTTGTTTAAATTGTGAGAAAGTATTATAAATCATAGACTATTTGGTAATTTAACTTGTCATTAATACCCAAAAGCTATATCATTTACATCAACATCCATCTTGTATTTTTTGCATTGTTGCACATTGGTGAGCCATTTTTATTTATTTATTCTTACATAGTAGTCGAATACTGTTATTAATAAGTATTAGAAATCGTTTGTTTTCAATTATGATTTTTTTTTTTTTTCAGAAACGAAAAATGGTTTTAGAATCAACATCCACACAAGTTCTTAGGGATTTAGAAATATCATTACGTACAAATCATATAGAGTAAGTAACAAATTTCGAGATACCACTAATATTAATCTAATATACAGGGTATTGTCACGATGACCTTACACTATCTTTATATCGTGAATCAGTCTGGAGAAATTCATGAAAATGTGCAAGCGTATATTTTAGAATACGCTTTCTTCATTACAAATATTTTCGACAATGCAGTATTGCCGCTTCTACTAGAAAGTAGTAGTTAGTGAAGAGCTGATTTTATCGTTACATCACACAAAGATATAAAGTGTTCAAGATTCAGAATTCTGATCACCCTGTATTTGTTCCGATTAAATATCAGTAAATAGTGAATCAAAAGTTGAGATAGGGACATGTGAGCCGTTTTGACCGATAATGAATAGTTTCGACACAAACGAAAGTTGAAAAATCTCGATTTTGAACACCCTATATCTCTGTAATAATTTCCGATAGACCCCAAGTTTGATGTATCGATGAAATCAGCTCTTCAGGGAGAATCTGAAAATGCAATTAAATACAGGGTATTCTATTTGAAATAACAAAGTTGTAGCTACTTTTTGATAGAAGCGGCAACACTGCATTGCTCGTCGTGACATACCCTATATGAATTTTTCCTGCCCTTGTCAGCCTTTCACGGTGTTTGTCGCCAAATCTCATCCGAAAGGCTTGACTGATTCGTATGAAAATGTGCGTATTCCGTAGGTATGAGAATCGGTCGTAAGCCATTTTTTAAATTGAAAATTCAATATGGCGGACGAGTTTTGTAATCCGATTTTATTCAAAATTGGTATCTGGGCGTTTTCGGGTCGGAGATTATAATTCTTTCATGAAAAATTTGGAAATTCAAGATGGCGGATCCAATATGGCGGACGAGTTTTTTAAATTATAATCCGATTCTTTTCAAAATTGGTATCTGAGGGTTTTTGGGGTCGGAGATTATGATTTCTCCGTCAAAATTATGACATTAAAGATGTCGGATCCAATATGGCGGACGAGTTTTGTAATTAATGATCCGTTTCTATACGAAATGTGTATCTGGGGGTATTCGGGGTCGGAGATTATGATTTTTTATGGCGAACGAAGTTCGTAATAAATAGTAGTCTGAAAAACTATAATGAAACACGCTTTTATTTATAATCAAATTCGAGGCCAAACTGAATAGAAGTAGAAAATAGATAGTATAGTTTAAAAATTGAAGAGATATATTGCCGTACTAAAAAGAAGTAGAAAATGAATAGAATAATTTGAAAAACTAAAGAAACACGCTTTTATGGATAGCCAGACTTAAAAGAAAAATAAATAAAATGAAGTGTAATGAGAAATATTTAACTAAAAAAATATTTTCTAGAAATAATGTTCATGGCAAAACAATGTTAGCCGGGTCAGCTAGTAATTCATAATTGTTTACTGAAAACCAAAAGGAGTGTAGTTTTTCAATGTTCAAGGTTTTCACTTCTGTTTTCATTATCCTTTCACTTTAGCTAAAGAAGTGCATGAACTCACGTTTCAAAGCTTCCCCGTAAAATTGATCAACAGGTGTTAGCTCGGGTCATCAGCATGGCCGAACGAGTGTCAAATTATATTTCCTCAGCTAGCCATCGTTGAACGGAAGATGTCTCGTGGAGTGGCCATGCAGCCCGCCTGATCTGACACTAGTTGATCACCGTTTCATTGTGCCTTTCAGGTGGGTTAGGGAATTTTTGAGCGAGGAAAATCTCGGTCTGGACGTACTAATAGACTATCTGAGCTTTCGTCTCGAGATGATGAGACACGAGCAGAGGATAGCAGAATCTCGAACCACTTCTGAGGAAAAACTAGCGCCCAGCTCCATCTCCAACACCAATAACCAGTCGGAGAAAACTAACGGGTATGTTATTCTCAAAGATCCATCAATATCTTGAATATTTGACGAAACATTTTTATTCTTGCTGTGCCTGTTCCTCTTTTTTGCATGTTTTTTCATGTTTTTTTCATTTCCTCATGCATGACAAATGAGGGAATAAAGAATTTTTAAGTGTCAACCGACAACTTTCAATAATTTCAATGGTATCACGACCATATTGTAAACAACAATAATGAAAGTATCCATTGATGCTATTTATTTACTTACATAAAAACAACTATATACTAACTGGGTGATGGTGATATCAACCACAAAAACTTCTGAAATATATCTGTTGAGCAACTACTAAAAGTTTCATCCAAAAGTAAGAATGATCCGAAGGTAAATTGTTAGTAAAAATGTAAATAGAAACCCACTGAGGAGGCAAGTAATTCAAATTTTCGCGCACTAATTTGTCTCCTAATGGCGGATGGGTCACTGTAGCATACACTGTATAACGCTGCCATCTATAGTCAACACGTGCAGATCCCTACGTCTACTGCGTTGCAAAGTGGTACTATACAAGTAAACCACTCTGCTGACAGATGGCATTAGCTGACTATTTGAGCGGAAGATCCACCAATCCTATTCATTGAACTAGATCTCATAACTAAGAGATCTAGGATGAAAAGAGTTGCCCCAATTGTCAGCAGGATAGGTACGGTACTGTTCCGGCCCACCAGGCCTCATCAGCTGCCCTCGGTCATGACGAATTCTATATTATAGGTATATCTTCTCAGTTTATGAAAATGTATCTGTAGATTCTAGATGAAAAAAAAAAGTGTTTTGCATAAATCCTTTGGAAGTTCTTTGAATATACAAATATGCCATGATCATAAGCTTTATCGAATCTCTTGTTTTTTTTTTGTTATTGCAGTTTTGAATGATTATAAACCCCTTATAGGTACATCAGGATGCCCATAGAGATCACAGATAGCCCTGGCCTGAAAAGGAGATCGAAACACGTGGCAAAATTGAACATGGGCGACTCCAAAGACGACATACACGTGTGCATCATGTGTATGAGGGCTATAATGAACAATAAGGTAAGTTCGAGGGCACATCGGCCTGCCGATCGTCCGGTGCTGAACCCTATTCGAAACTTTGACATTTGACTCGTTTCAGTATGGCTTCAACATGGTCATTCAACATCGTGAGGCGATAAATTGCATATCGCTCAGCCTCATCCACAAAAGTTTGCGAACTAAAGCGCTAGTTCTGGAGCTGCTGGCTGCCATTTGTCTGGTCAAAGGTGGCCACGAGATCATCCTGTCGGCTTTCGACAATTTCAAAGAAGTTTGCCACGAAAGGTACAGGTTTGAGACGCTCATGGGTCAATTTCTCAACTACGAAGTCTTCCACATAGAATTCATGGTGAGTAGGGATCGGAGTGCCTCTGGGAACCGTCCTTGGGCCGCTTCGTTGAAGCTATCTATAATGTGTCCATTTGGTGCGTAATTTTTCGATATCTCGTAAGCCATTGCATGTAGAGAGAAACTTCGAATAGCGGTGTTTCTCAGTTTTCGAAAATACATGTTCCAAGAGTATTCTCAACCATACAGGGTGTTTCACAAAAGCAGTGCATCTTTCCTCGTTGTGTTTTCAACCCTCCTAAGAGAATTCAAACTTGTCGCGGTGATGTCAAGCTTTTTCGTTTTCCTCTCTATATGCATTGCCTTATGAGATGGTAAAAATGCACTAATGTTGTGATATTTGTTTTAGGTGGCCTGTATGCAGTTTGTAAATATAATTGTACATTCGGTGGAAGATATGAATTTCAGGGTGCACTTGCAGTACGAGTTTACTGCGCGAGGTTTAGATAATTATTTGGAGAAATTGAGGTTTACTGAAAGTGAAGAGTTACAAGTACAAATATCAGCATATTTGGATAACGTTTTCGATGTGGCTGCTCTCATGGAAGATAGTGAAACCAAAACTGCCGCTCTGGAAAAAGTTTCGGAGTTAGAAGATGAAGTTGCACAGGTAGGGTTGGGGAAATTTCACTTTTGGTTTGGGCTTGAGTGAAACTGTATACGTTCACATGAGATTTTTATCTTGAATTAATATCGTGTAACAAAAAACTGATTCATTTTGTATAATGCTGAATTTAAGAAAATTGTATACTCTTTGCTTGAACTGCTTGTTGCTACCTGGGAAAGCTCCAGCAGCTCGGCATTCACTGTTACTCCAAGTAAGAACTTGGCAGTCTTGAAGATTTGAATAGATCCGGCTCGAAGGACCAATATATTCGTTGAATGATATATAGTGGACTGTATTTGTATATTTATACGATACATGATGATGAAATGTTGAAATTATAATTGCAATTCCTATTTCAATACTTCTTCATTTATTGATTTTATTGATAAATCTTATGTTTCAACAACACGTCATGTTAACAAACAAATGAAAATCTCTTGCACCATATAGGGTAATGCAAGTACCAAACCATCATACAGGGTCATACAAGTACCATACTTTGAAAATTGACGATTTTTGTAGTTGCACGAGAGGCTGCAAGACATCGAGCACCAAGCCCTGGAGAAGATCGCGTGTCTGGAGACGGCGCTGATCCAGGAGCGGCAGGAGAAGGACGAGCTGCTGGAGGTGAAGAAGCAGGCCGACGAGGAGGTTTCCACGTTGAGGAGGGTCGTGCAGAGGCACGAGCAGGAGTCGAGGAACCGGCAGTCGATGTTCGAGTCCAAGATGGCGGAGATGGAGGGTGGTGGGAGCATGCCCAGAGGATCGTCAAGTGAGTTGGGATGCTTTTTCTTGATTTATTCGGTTTCATGGTTTTTCACTTCATTATTGTTATGTCTGTTTTAAAAAAGAAGAAATTTCTGGATTGGGAGATTTTCTCTAAATAGGTATCACTTTTTCTGACTTGGAATGACCTGTATATATAACTTCCAATCTAAGCCTGGAATTAGGAATGTTCTCCCGTAGTTTTCATGTCATCGCAACGTCAAATGACCTTGGCTACCGCGAATTTCCTGGAAATAAATTTTCCCTAGTTATGAAAGAAAAAATCGAAATCTCGAGCTACATAAGCTTCTTTGAAATTAGTTTTTTTGACAGAAACTATGTGAAAATTTTGGTTCCAGTTCAGAAATGTCTCCTTTAGATTTTTTTCCAATTCTAAACGTATTCACGACGAAGGTTGGTTCAGGATTTTTTTTTTTTCTATTTTTTTGTCAGTGCGGAAAAATTCCTTTTAACTTTTTCTGACTTGGAATCACATGCTGGTCATGAATCACAAATCTGTACCATCTGAAATATTTCCACTAGATTTTTAAATTTTTTTTTTTTTAATGGGATGAACAATCCGACTTTTTTTAAATATCATATTCACCAAGGTCATAAGAAATTCATAAGAACATTTCAAAACTTCATGTTAACCCTGAATATCAGCAATTTTATTACTTGAAATATCATTATTATTGAATAGAATGGTGACCGTTGAATATGATTTCTGGTGTTGAGCTAGCGAGAATTCGGTCGAAATGTTAAAGAAAACCAATTGTTGAATTGTCGACGTTTCGAAACTTTATTGTTTCATCTTCATATTTCATTATGTTTTTTATATTCAAGTAACTTATTATAAAAATTTCATGTCATATTCATACTGAGTAGGTACCACATTTGCCGACTGAAAGTTACATGCTAATTAGGAATCTGTACGATTTTGACGCTATCCAGAAAGTTTGAGGTGGAATAATTTTTATTTCAACATTAGTCCCCTGAGGAAAATATCAAGACAGACAGAGACGTTTTTCCACTTGAAGTATTGACTAATTTTTCAATTCAAAATTTTAGTATGTCATGTTTACCTGAAATATCACTTTTTTACTTGAAATTTTTATCACAAAATATTTTGTACTATGCTGTTAATAAAATAAAAAAATTTCTCCGAAAAAAATAGAGATCAGCTTGTTTCGATATATTTTCCAGAAATCACCGGTGAGAGCGGTTGTTAATATTGGTGATGTACTGTTTATCTTCGATTAGTACACGGTTGAGAAATTTTTATTTAATGAACATCATATTGAAGTGGATTGAAAAGTTTGGAACTTAATCAAGTGATAAGATGACTAATCTCATGGATTTGTTGCGCAACGTGTCAAACCGATTATCTCTGGAGTGAACAATATGTTTTTTAAGTCTTGTGATTGTGCTTCTACGTGTTTGCCCAATGTAGGCTTACCTAGGAGACTTTGAATAGTATTTTTGCAGTAAGAGCTACGTTCTGTCCCAAAAATTCTTTGAATATTAGACATTTTCAGTTAATTGAAACAAACCCGACGGGAAAACTAGAACACTACGAAAAAAATCGAATCATTGTTGTTCATACTCATTGTCACCGAACCGTTAACACTTTGACCGCCACGCCGAGTCAGTGCAAGATTCCATTGGGCCACGATGCTTTTTTTTAAACAAATTAAATTTCTCTTTGATGGTCAATATGGCTTTCGGAAATCCTGTGACACTGAATGTGCAACACTGGATGTTATTACTGACATTCAGCTGAAATTAGATTCAGACTACAGATGTGGACTCTTATCAGTGGATTTGGGAAAGGCAGTTGATACAGTCAATTTTGAAATTCTATTAATGAAATTAACTCGAATTGGAATAAGAGGTAAAGTTTACTCTTGGTTTGAAAATTATCTAGTTGATAGAAAGCAGTTTGTGTATATGGGAGATTCATTTTCTTCAATAAGAAACATATCTTGTGGTGTACCCCAGGGATCAATTCTCGGACCTATTTCATTTCTAATTTATATAAATTCTATCTCAAGTTTGAAATTACAAGGGAATTTGAAATTATTTGCCGATGACACAACTCTCATTTATTACGGAAAAAATATACAAGAAACAAAAAACCAAATGGAACAAGACCTCGCTTCAATAACATTATGGTTACAAGATCATAAATTGACACTCAATTTTGATAAATCTTCTTTTATGTTCATCTCGAAAAGAGTTATACCTGATCACCAAATATATCCGTTAAAATTCGGGAATTTTTGTATAAATCCTACAAAAAACTCCAAACTCTTAGGTTTAACTATAGACCAGACTCTATCTTGGTCATATTCAATTGCTCAGAAAAAAAAATCTCCCATTGTTGGTATATTATACAAATTGAGGTCTTTTATACCTCTTAAATACTTGAAATTAATTTATTTCAGTTTGATTTACTCTAAATTGCAGTATTTGATATCGATCTGGGGTACTGCAGCAAAATCTGTTTTGAAACCTCTGAAATCTCTTCAAAATAATAATAATAATAGTAATAATAATAATGTTTATTGAAGTAATACCCAATATGTATAACAAATTCATGACGAAATAATATATTATGGTCTTACTACTCCAAAAGGACAGAATATTGGCAAAGCCATTTTTCAATTCTGCCTGGATAATTACAATAGAACATAACATAAATAAAGCCATAAAATGTATTTATGGACTACCATTTCTGGAATCAACATCTAGACTATACAAACCAAGAGATCTACTAGATATTGACTCTCTCTTCAAAATGAAAGTATGCATTTTCATTCATTTCACTGAAAATAAGAAAAAGCACTCGAATCTTACTTTCAATATCAATTCTGATACCCATGAGCATCACACCAGACAAAGTGAACATTTGAAAACTGTCAAAATAAAAACCCAATTCGGGAAAAGATCATTGTATTTTTGTGGAATAAATATTTATAATAGTCTACCCAACAGGATAAAATCTATTAGATTCGTCACAAAATTTAAGTGTGAACTGAAGAAATATATTTTATCAATTTAGCTCACTCCTTGTATCAATTAATTCTGATTGAACTGTTTATCTTTCATTGTATTGCATATTTGATTTTATTTTATTTTATTTTTGTTTCCCTCTATAAACATTGTATGTTTCTTGGGATCAATAAATGTTATTATATTGCTAATTAATACGTATAAGATGTGTATCCAAAAGTATACACGCAGCGATTTCGACCCTCGCATATGTATACCTTTGGATACACATGGCCGGTCGAAGTGTTACCAATGTCGACTTCCACACAGTGCCCGGCATATCCGATTTCGCCGACCACCCGCCTTTGCCGCCGCCGCCGACCGCTCAGCCCGCCCCGCCCGCCCTCTCGCCTCCGCCGCCCGCTCCGGCCGCCCCACCGCCGCCGCCGTGCCCGCCCCCGCCACCTCTCAAGCCCTCCGCCGGGGTGCCGCCCCCGCCGGCCGGCTTCATGCAGGCGCCTGACGGGGCGATGACCATCAAGAGGAAGGTTGGTGTTGAATGTGATATTATATTTGTGGTTTCATGTATAGCTCAGTAAAACGGTAACGATTAGGACCGTTACCACCGATAAAACAAGGCCAGCAGACTCTGACGTAAACAGCTCGTGACGTCGCATACTCAGGCCATCTTCCAAGGCATTCGCGTCGATCGATCGTCAGTTTGTTTTTGTTTAAGAACGGTGGCGTAGGTAAATCGCGTGTGCTCGAATTCTCTTGTTGTTTATTCATCAAAATAATTGGCGGAGAAATTACTGTTTTGTCAAATATTTCATGTTGTGATAGGCGAAATAAGAATGCCTTACAAGTGTTGTGTTCCCTTTTGTCGGGGGAATTATGTGGGTGGTCCAAAAGTTCATGCTTTTAGTTTCCCGTTGGACAAGGAACTATCGAAAAAGTGGGTACATGCAATTCACCGCAAGGATTTTACGACTCCATCTAAGTACAGTAAAGTATGTGAATTACATTTTACTAAAGATGATATTATTACTTCATCTACTGCAACCGATTCCAAAAATGGCAAAACTGTAACAATAGATTTGAAAATTCCTAGGCTCAAACGAGATGTTATTCCCACTCAATTTCCCAACTGTCCATCTTATTTATCGAAAGATGAAAAACTTGAGATACTATAGAGACTAAAAATTTGGCACAAGCACTTACCAAAAGTAAAACTGAATTCGAAAATTACCAAAAATCATTTTGCTACACAGAATTTCAAGAATTTATAGTTGTATTAGAGTCTTTTCAGTTGCCCGAAAAGTGGTTCAAAATTATCGATTTGCAAAAATTTACATTATTCAAATTGTCTTATTCTCCAGGGCCCGTAATTACATATTCGGTTGTGATTGATTTTGTTTTGAATGTGGAATCATTTTTGTATGACCTAGCGATACAAACATCTCTAAAAGCCAATCTGAAAACACCTTTTATCTCTAATAATATCAATCGAATCAAGGAATTACTAATTGAAATAGATAAAAACGAGATACATAATTCGGGAAAATGTCTTGATAATCAGAAAACGAGGGTTTTGAAACATATTTCGAATGCATTGGACTCTTTGGTTTCTGACTCAATACATTCTCAAATTTCTTTCTGAAAACGGTCATTTGCCTCGTGGCAATGAATGCAGAATTCATTCCAATGATCAAATTGCAACTATTATATTAACATGTACTACAAACACTCTACTTAAAAATTACTGTTTCAAGTCTAACGACCAATTGGGTAAAAAATCCAACAACAGGAAATTGAAAACACTCACTGGCTAATTTTTTAGGTAATAGGAATTCTCCAAGATGAATATAGGTAATTAGGTATAACAAACGGCATGTCTATCAAACTAAAATACATTTTCCCCAATTTTCTTTCGATCAATCTCATGATAAGTTTATGTTCTGCGGGCCCTGTAAAAGTAGGTGTGAAGTTTACCTCTAATGAGATTGAATCACTACAATTTTTACCAATATATTCAATTCGAATGGGTTGCTGTGGGTGGGTATTTGTGTTTTATTCTGGTTTTTGCTTTGAAACTTCGTTTTTCCATAATAAAATCGAATGGGATGCGAAGAAGGGCTCAGTTGACGGCTGGCATCCTGTTTCAACCGGAGGCCCTTAAAAAAAAAGCAAAATCGGCTCAATAATGATCTAAAACTAAAATCGAAATACGCGGTCGCGCTATAAGCGCTTGTCGTTTCGAGCCGCTGGTTAGGCCTGACTAAGTGACGTCACCCACGGAGCATGCAGGCCTTGTTTTATCGGTGGTAACGTTAGGACCCAATCCGGGAAAAAATTCAAGTAGTTGGTTTGTCTGTGGTTTTATTGGTTATTGGAGATGCTGAATTTGAATCTGAATTTTGCAAACAAGATTTCCTGGAGCGTTCCGAGATATTAGCATTCTTGAGATAAATAGGTTTTAGTAAAGTTAGCTGGCATTTTTTAATGGAAGCTAGTTTGATAATTTGATTTATGCAATTGTGAGGAATAGTTTTAGGTTGATTTTTTATGATGTACACATGAATGGACACACTGAATCTCCCCACTTGTTGCTCTTAGAGTCCCTGTGTGTATTTGACAGTTTTGCAAAATTATCGTTGCTCTCACGCTTCATCAGTGGGATAAGTGATTTTTGGGCAATAAAGCTCAGTGCTCAGTGCGCAGTTTTAATTGATTGATTGATTGGTTTATTGATTTGGTTGTAGGTGCAAACGAAGTACAAGCTGCCTACTGTCAATTGGGTGGCGCTGAAGCCGAATCAGGTGCGCGGCACCGTTTTCAACGAGCTGGACGATGACAAGTTGCACGGGTGCATAGATTTCAACGATTTCGAGGAGAGGTGAGCACTTGAAATTCAAAAAAAGAACTCGTTTCTGCGAGGACATTTTCTTCACATGGTCTTCTTCTCCGACTTGATTTTGACACCTTGTATCCATTTCCAGACACTTATTTTGTTCGATACGTCCTCGACTGGGCCTCGGCTATCAATTTGCAGGCTCGGCTATAATAGACAGTTTTTCATTCTTGGTACATAAATACATTCACATCTGGTTAAAACATGTCTTTCACATATGGTGAAAACATTCTTATAGAGTTATCAATTCAAATACAATAGATTCACTGTTTCTATAGAATACCTAATGAAATACTTACTACTGACCGAAAAATGACATCATGAAATCACATTCATTGAGAATTATTGACCATGAACCCATAGTGATGATTTCAGAAAAGCATACTATCGACATTTTTTCTATAACTGATCTCGAGAATTATCATTTTGTGTTAAATTAAGGTTTTTTATTATAGATTCAAGATAGGTAGCACAAATATCATGTCGAATGGCGTTAGTGAGACTGACGGACTACAAACTTTCCCTAGCAAAAGGGGAAAGAAACCAGAAAATGTCACTTTATTAGAACACACTAGGTTGAGAAATATAGGTGAGTTGCCCAAAAAAACTTGCAGCTCTTACTTGAAACTACCTACATTCGATTTCAGCAATTTCACGTAGAAAATTAGAAATGGCGCCCGACAAAGTGATAAACGCGATAAACATGTTGGACCTGAAACAGCTGTCATTAGAGAACGTCGAATTGCTCCAGAGGATGGTGCCTACCGAACAAGAGTCCAAGGCTTACAGGGAATACATTATCGAAAAGAAGAACGTTAATCTTCTAACAGAAGAAGACAAATTCCTCTTGCAGCTGACCAAAGTCGAGAGGATATCGGCCAAACTGTCTATAATGAGTTATATCGGAAACTTTTTCGATAGCTTACATCTAGTAACGCCAGTAAGTGATTTTGAGTATCTTATTTTTGCATCATAACAGCAGCCAAATATTTAGTCATTTTGTAACGTCTTAGTGAGGTGATTTGGCATTTTCAATATTTCAAACACGCTTTTTTCTCAACAAACCAAGCCAAGAAACAAGATCACTACTGAATAAGTACATCAGGATATTTGTAACTAACTTTTCTTCACAGATTTGACACTGTCGAACCATATTTATTCACAAAATAGTGACTGCTTCAGATTTATAAAGAGGGCCTAGGCAAAATAAACCACTTCTTTTGAATACTATCTGATTTTAACTAACGAATACAAATTATAATTAGTTTTCTCCATAACTGGTACTAGAACGGTTTACGACATTGTTTTAATCAGTTCAGGATCCCAAACTCCAAACATACTGTCGAATAGTAAACAATATATTGAACGTCTCTATCACAAAACTATTATCTCCTACAATTCACATTAAGAAACTGAGATCTATATTAGAAGTCGTTCTGGCTTTCGGGAACTACCTGAACAGCAGCAAACGCACACGAACAAAAATGAAACGATAACCTTTCATTCTCAGTTTGGTGTATCTCTGAATATTTATTTTTCTGCTCAGACAAAAATATCTGAATTTGACCAAGAGTCGTTACGAATTATTTGGGCAGTATTGTACATGCGATCATTTGCCGACCAAACTGGTAAAGAACTCCAAGAAACTCAGGTCCGTGTTGAAGGTCGTTCTGACTTTCGGAAACTATAATACACACTAAAAAAAAAAATTATTCTATCCGTCATTCGGTTGCCCCCTGGCTAGATTTGCTTAATCTTCTTCGATATGGTGGACTGTATTACTTGTGATATTAAATGAATGATGAATGCTTAGATAAATGCTCAAATGTGTACTTTTATCAGAATGAAAAATGCAATTAGTTGTCAATAATTTTTATATGTGTATGTCAAGTCTGATACATAACAACGTACATAGCAACGAACAAAAATAATGATACACAGCTACTATTCAAATATGGTTCTCGGGCGAGCGAATAGTATTCAACCACATACAGGGTATTAATACAATATACAGAATACCCACAATTGTCCACCCCCTTACGAGCAACCCTCAGAAGTCTTCGAGAGTCTTGTGCGAGCAAGGAATGACGGGGGCCTTACCTTTTAACGTGTGATCCCAAACACTTATATAGTCTTAAGATACCTCAATGTTCATATCCAACTAACTGTCCCTTGCGCCGCCGAAAGTTTTGTATAAATGGTGCTCCTCTATTACGCTAAACTCAATCTCGTAACATCAATTCTTCAATATAGTTAATTTCAATCTTTTTTTAGCAAGTTCATGCGATTATTTCCGGATCGAACTCGGTGAAGAACTCCAAGAAACTGAGATCCGTGTTGGAGGTCGTTCTGGCTTTCGGGAACTACTTGAACAGCAGCAAACGCGGTCCCGCCTACGGCTTCAAATTGCAATCACTCGACACGCTGCTGGATACCAAATCGACCGATAAACGGTTGTGCCTGCTCCATTACATCGTCGCCACGATAAGGCAGAAGTTCCCCGAGCTGCTTAACTTCGATTCGGAGTTGCATTATATCGATAAAGCCGCTGTGGGTGAGTATTCCTTTTAATTATGTACACTAACAAGATGAACCATCCTTATGAGAGCAATTAAGCCAGAAATTCTATTCAGTAACGGTATCTATGAGTGACTAGGGGAACTACTTTTTGATGAGTAGCAGAGGGTAGGGTTTGGTAATGTAGAATATATCAGAAGTTCATGCTTAGATGTTTTTATGCAAGGAGAAATGTCGCTTCCAGGCCGGATTAAAATATTTCTATTCTAAAGTGGGAATTTCAAAGTTAGATAAATAGATAGTTCAGCAACTTCCAGATAGATGGACTCGAGGAGATTCCAAGAGTAAAAACGAATCGGCCATATTTTGTTGAGTTCACTACCAGTGAATACTCCAGGTGCTTGGTAATTAATGGTACTCCAGGTAGTCTCGAGTGCTGTTCTGTGTATTGAAAGTTCGATTTGAATAGATCCGGCTCGAAGGACCAATAGGGGGATGATATATAGTGGATTGTATTTGTATGGTTATACGATATATGATGAAGAAATGAAGATTGATATTATAATTGCATGAATCTTGTTATCATTGATTTCTTCCATAGTGTCTCTGGAGAACATAAATACGGACGTCTCCGAACTGGAAAAGGGCATGGAGGCGGTGCGCAAGGAGGCGGAGATCCGCGGCAGGGGCGCGCACGCGCTGGTGCTCAGGGACTTCCTGCAGAACGCCGAGGACAAGCTCAGGCGGCTCAGGGCCGACGCCAAGATGGCACAGGAGGCGTTCAGGGAGTGCGTGGAGTTTTTTGCTGAGTCGCCGCGCACGACCGACGCGAATGCGTTTTTCTCCCTGTTGGTGCGATTCGTGAAAGCTTTCAAGGTGAGGATTTTTCCTGTTTTTTTTGCTACAGTAAAATTGAACTAAGAAAAAATATAAATCACGTCATTGCTCTTATTTTTGAAGTTTTCACAATGCATGTGTTACCTGAAAAGTATTAATTAAAGATGGTGCAACAGATCATTTTCCAGGTACACAAATTATTTCTGTAGGAAAATCACAGGGCAGTGTGCTTGGTCCATTATTATTCATCCTTTATGCAGATGACACAAACATTCTGATTGCTGACAAGTGTTTTGACGAATTGAGTCAGAAAACGGTAGATGATATTCCTCAAGTCTCCAACTGGTTTCATGAAAACTCTCTACTATTAAAATCACTAAAACTAGTTACATTTTCTACAGACAGAGCAGAAACTCACAGATGTTTCCAGAAAACATAAATTCGAAGTATAGTGCTATGGGATGAGTAGATCATGTAGCACTACTCTGTGGTAGACTTATCAACATTATAAGGCTAGTTATGCTCTGAAAGCACATAGGGCAGTTGTAGATCATGATGCTCTCAAGGACATTCCTTTTCAATCATGTGTTGTGGTATAATCTTTTGGGGTGGTTCACACATTCATTCAAAAAAGATCAATTCGTATTCTAGCCAATTTAAAAACTTTAGAATCTTGTCGCGGTTATTTCAAAAAACTTAATCTTTTTGCCTGGTGCATATAACCTTATTCCTGATAACTTGCATGCTCATTCTAACAATATGAGACAGAAAGAAACATTTCTCTTTCCACTACATATGACATCCTTTTTGAGAAAGGTTGTTTTCATCAGTGCTTAACGTTCTTTAACATGCTTCCAAACGAGATCAAATAAATCAAAAACTTCACTAGTTTAAAACAAATAATAATCAATATTAGTCCCAATGAAACATTTTATTACATAGAGGATATTGATGAAGCAAAAATATCCCTGTTGCCCAATAATAAGGGAAGAAGATGAGGAAATTATGCATTACAACTCTCATCTCAGAGGCTTCTTGATTTTCATCATCACTTGTATATCACTGTATGTACTTGACTTGTATTAAATATAATGTAATGTTGTGTCCCTAATGTACTAAATAAATTTTATTTTGTATCAAGGAGGAAATGTGTTCATGGATACATTATAATCAGGTAGAACTGTACTTAGCAATATCTCCTTCACAGTTGATTCTGGCACCACGTCCCTTGTGTTTGGTCTAAATGGATACTTTGAAACTCTATACGTTCCTCACTCCAAGATTAGTTTGAGTCTCTTTTAGTAAGGTCCTTCTATGTTTCGTTAGGTCGTCTGCAAAGTATATCTTTTTCCCTTTGAGGTTATGGACATTTTTGATATGTTTAAATTTTCATTCAGAGTTCACCAGTTTGAGTATAGTTGGTCTGTATTCACTCATATTTCCAGAATTAGTACTCTCCCTGTAGCATCCCATGATATCTCCTTCTCTGAAGTTCAAGCTGGTATTTTTGTGGATGATCTGCGTCATTTTGTCTTGTGAATTATCTCCAGTTTCCTTATTATCCCGTATATAAATACATTTCTGTAAGTTGGAGCATATCAACTACTGTTTGTTCCAGGCTATTCATATGACTATTGTGAAGATTTATTCGTTCAATTTCATGTTCTAAGGCACACGATTTTGGCTAGTATCAGAAATGACGCTTATCAAAAGATGAAATATACAAATAGTTTGTCACCTGTATACCAGACGGATTTTTTCATCGGAAATCGGTTCAGAATATCATATTTTTAATTTTCGGATAATAATTCCTATCAAGAATAAGTTATAAAACATGGCTTCAATATTTCAAGGTCATATTGCTTCGGTACTCATTAGTTTTTCCATTATTTCTTTTTTGCAGACATCAGATCAAGAGAATGAACAAAGGAGAAGGCTAGAACTGGCCGCTCTGAACGCCAACAATAAAAATAAAGAAGACGTGGCGAAAAAGAATAAAATCAACCAGAAAAAACAGCAGGTACGTACATACTATGGCACGCTCCTCGATGAACTCTGTAATGTACTCAATAATAATAATCACAAATTGAGAAAAACCGGTTCTATGAAATGGTGATTTTTTCCTGCTTAGTTTTGCCTGTTTGCTTCTGTTATTATGCTTTGCATTGGAAAGATGAAATGTATCTATAATGTTAATATTATGTAGTAATTTATACATTGTTAGATACATTTTATTTTTGTTGAGTAGCAAGCTTTTTTGCTATGTCACGTGTTATAAATTTTTAATATGCTTTTTATATTAATGTATAGATGTAGATATTATTGTTGTGAATAAAAATGTAAAATTTGCTTCAAGCATATAATTTCTAGTTTTTACCGCAGCCTCTAACCAAATTTCGTACATAAGTTCAAGATAGTAATTCTGGTCATAATGATAAATAAAATGTTGAAATATGTTGGATAACCTATTGAAATATAGTCTGATCTTCTTATAGTACACAAAAAATTCATTTTCAAGCATTTATATTCTAGCTTTTAACTGTCTAACAGATAAATCATGTAATTTCGTTAAAATGAATTTTTTTTTTTTTGAATTTCTGGATTTTGTTCACTGAACTTCGTTTATCTGTCTTCAAAGTTGGGAATTCCTACTTGAACTCGGTAACCCCAACTTCAGGGTGAACACACTGTATGTATAGCCAAATTTGTTATGGGGATTGGCATCTACTCTCATTCTAGGATATTTTGTGGTTTATCTTGAACAAATGTATTATTAGAGTTAACACAATCAGAGAAGTACTTGTACGTCATCAACTACCTGCTCGTCGGAAGATTCCTAGTGGCGTAACGTAGTTCTTTTTCAGAAATGATGAATTACGTTAGTTTTGGTAATTGACTAAAAATATTCCCAAATTTGAAACTGTTACATTGAATGTGTGAGGTTGATCCCCAATAGTTGATGATAATTTCCGAAGAATGAAAACAAAAGTCAAAAAAGTCATTTGAACTATTTCAATCGTCAAATACATCCGTGTCTACATTTTTTTGAATTGTCATCATCATATTTGCCGGTGATGTGTCCAATAAAGGCTATTTGGCAATATGTCCGTCAACGATTTTTTCTGCGTCAGCACAGCAGATTGCTGACCACTCTTCTGGAGGTACTGCTTTTAACTTTCCCTTAATTAAGAGTATTACAAGTATACATCTATCTTTACCACCACCAAACGCGTAAATTCACACAGATCAACAGGTAAAAAAACGTCTCCACTCCCGGAAATTTCCCCACGTTGGGCGCCATGTCCAGACGCTTTTTTATGTTCCTCTCACGATGACGTACATTTAGTTATCTAATTGTGTTCCCTCTACACCCTTCACCCTACTCTTTGCTTGCTTTAACCACCATTTCCCCTAACAGGAGCCTGTCCCTAGTATCTGGTGAAGTCCAATAACAAAGTACTGTGACTAAAGTGTTCCCGTTGGCATGAGTATAGCTTCTCGGGCGTTCGTCTCATCGAAATCAATCTTTGTTATTTCGTATTTTCAGCCGCCAAAATTGCCAAACTTCTTGGCCAAAATACTCGAAGACTAAAAAATTCATAAGACTGACAAAGAGACTTATCACAGTATATCCCGAAATTAACCCCACTATCACGCTTTCCAGAAAACTAATTCTTAGCTGCCATGCACTTGAAAGAGAGATCATGTTCATGAAATGCTGATCGATTTGACTGTTCCACTCGAAAATTTCGGTTGATTTTCAACATCCTGTTTTTTTGAAAAGACATCCTCAATAAATGTTCAATTGGTGAGTTGAAAGAGCTACTCACATCAGGAGTATGCAAACTGAACTGTGGAATTTGTCATGAGGTATATTAGTCAGACAGGCAAAAAGTTAACCACCGAATTCATGAACATCATATGAATTTTATGTTAAGAAAACAAGTTTAATATGTGTACAGTGTGTCCCGTTCTCGATGCTTTTGCGTGTTGATATCTCAGTTATCTTTGGAGATAGAACGTTGCGGTTTTCGCGGTTCTTTGACACTTTTTTGTGGAACTCAAGATGGCCTAATCAGATTTTGCACAACTGTTTCCGTTTATGAGATACAGGGCGATTTTGAAAATTTATACTTTTTGAACCCCCTCTATATCTACGAAGTGTCTCAGCGAAAATGTCAAATTAAAATCTTATCCCACATAGACTTTTACGCAGAATCCAGTGGTGCACTCAATTTTTTTTCACGGGGTATGATTTTGCAGATACGACCCAAACATGATTTTTTAAATGGAACACCCTGTATTTTATAAGCTCATAAAATTCCTTATTTTTTCCTTCAGAATGATTTATACAATTTCAAAAAATGCTACAAAATCACTTAAACGTTGAATTTCAATTGTGGGCTATGGATTTTTCATATAAAAAAGTACCAATTGAAGGAATATTTCTTTCGATTTCTCCATGAAGAGGGCAAAAACGATACCAACACTAATTAACTAACAGAACTGTTATTACCCAGGATCAAAACACAAAGTCATCTCCACAATAATGTTATTGTTTTTGAAAAATTCATTTTGTACCAGCATCAGCTATTACTCCATCATTCTCAAATCAAAATATTGTGAAAACGGTACAAAGTATTGAATTTCATCAAGGGTACCTTTTCGATGTTGAATTCAATGATGTCCAAGTTCACATCAAATTTTGATTGAAAAATCTAACCTCAAAAAAGTTATGCTTGAATCTTCTCGGTACGGACCGTGTAACAAGCGCCCTCTATGAGAGTCAGATATAAAAACAAATTAATGTCAAGAGTCAAAACATTTTTTTAACACCTTGTATCTTGAAAACGGATGCCGTTACTACGTTTTTTTACTGAGCAAACCCAACTTATTTTGCAGTGTTCAATCTACCCTAGCAAGGGGGTCAGGTTTTTTTGAAACACCAGGGAAAGCGAATGCCATTGGGAAAACTCGTGCCAACTAAGTGCATATAATGCGTCCCATTGGTAAAACCAGTTGTGGTTTCTGTGTCCCATTGAAAAACTGGTTGAAAGAGCGATATTTCCCGAATCATTATACTTAAATCTTGTAACACTGTACTGGCGTGAAACGGCTTGCATTTTTTTCTGAACTCATATTTGATCACACGAAAAAAAAATGAAAAATATGTGTTCAATGAATTCTCATAAATTATACAGATGAATGAAAATTTGATTGTTGGAAATTTGCTCATTAATAAAAGAGATACATAAATCAATATGGATGCGCCGATTTTTTGGATGTTGATTTTCGATCGCATTTTTCTGGCGGAGCGTTTTGATCGATGAGCGACTGATTGATTACTGAAATGACGTTATGACAGGATGCTGTGATAAACGAACTTAAAACAAAAACGAGAATGGTTCAGGAAAAGAAATTGCTGCAGCAAGACGAGGTTTATAATGGGGCATTAGAGGACATTCTGTTGGGGCTGAAAAGCGAGCCCTACCGTAGGGCGGACGCTGTTCGCCGAAGTCAAAGGAGGCGGATAGATAACAACAGGCTGTCGAAAACTTTGGAGGAGATGGAGGTGTGAATAACGACGAAAATAAACTATGGTGTTTCAGTCATTCGAAGGTGAACCCCTGGAGATGGTTTTATTTTAGTATCTCCGAAACGGTTCAAGACACAAAATTGTAACTATAACAGTCGAGTAATTGCCCAGAGGTCAGTTATTTTGGCATTGAAATTATTCAAAGAGTTCTTATTTATGAGGCATATGGCAGGGGTGTTGATATCGCGCCCATTTTGTAACTTCAAAATCCGGGAGAAGATTTAAATCTGGCTATTCCACTCTTGTTCTCGAGAACCAATCAGAATCTACCATTTTCACGGATTCTCCTGTGTTCGAGCGATATTTTTTGTTTACTAAAATTCATTAGACTTGCTCTACCAATACAGAAGCCGAATTGACCTACACGTGACCAACCAACCTCGTTTTTAAGCGGTAAAATTTTTGGCGTTTATAACGTCAATCATGTTTGAAGTCAGAATGATGGATGCATTGTGCGTAACTCTCGCGAGGCACTCGTTTATTGTCTCAATCATGAAATATTCATACGAGTACAACTCGTGATACTTACAAAAATAATGGAATTTTCATCAAAATTTCATCTAGGACCAAATAGGATAATAACGAATGTTGTTTGAGGTTTGTTGAGGAAACATTTCTTGAATTATCTAACAAATCATGAAACCACAAATGAGCACAGTTTCTATAAGTTGATAAATAATAGTAGTTCACCTGAAAAGTGCGGTTGTAGATTGCCGAACTACGCGTTATCATGCAGAAAAAAACAAATTCCTCTTTTCCGCGCTAATTCGAGTTTTGAAAGTTTTCTCCGCTCTAGTACGGAAAAGTGACTCTTTCAACACTAGAATGAGTGCGAAAAAGTGGACTTTTGATTGGATAATTTCGAATCCGTCTTGGCTGAGCATTTTTCTCGAAAATATGTGATTCGTGGTTGTTATCCTGGCAGCACCTTGATGACCTAGAAGTGGTAAGAATTCTACTATGAGCTGTGTCATCACGATGTTCTGATTATTCCAGAAAATTATGTAGCTTCAATGTTCACGAAATTGTGTTGCCGCATTCATTATTATTTTATGCCAAACTGACAGACTTTGCTTTGCTATCCATGGTTACATCCAGACTTCGATGTGCTAGCCATGGTTACATCGTTGAAAACATGAACGCTGTCAGACCAATCAGTATTGAAAGACAGCTAATGTTTTCACGATAAGCACACGTTGTCTCTGGCTTGTGATTGGTCAGATTATGTGAAAGTTGATACAACTCGAAATCAACGCCACCTGAGTTCAACAAGAGTACCTACTTATTTTGTGAAACAATCCCTCAACTCTCTCCATCAGCTTATCAATCAAGAAAATATTAATTTATTGCCAATTGTTCTCGTTTTGAACCGTTTTGAAGAAAATTTTGAATTGAAATCACCTGAAACAGTGCACACTCAAAAGGCTGTACAACTTTTCTCGTTGTTATCGTTTTGAACCGTTTTGAAGAAAATTTTGAATTGAAATCACCTGAAACAGTGCACAGTACACACAGGCTGTACAACTTTTCTCGTTTATGGTCTTGGAATCTACTGTCAAAGTATTGCACATTTATTATGATCAGTTGCCGTCAATCTTGTTGGTGAACAACCAAATTCACATGCAACATTCCAGAGCCTTGACTATTTGGTTCTGAACAAAGTGTTTATTTGTTGGTAAAATATCAGGCTATTTTCGAAGTAAATTTGATAATAAAAATCTGTTGCTGGTTGTAGAAATGCTTTGATATATTTTCAAAGGGTCGCGCTCATCTATCATCGTTGAATGTGCCCACCATAGTTTGTTTTCATCATGGTGTGAATATTGTTAAATTGTTACTGTCAACTTGTTGCTTTACAAATTAGAAGAGATTTTCTATGTTTTTTCTGATGGTTTTACTTGTTTTACTTACAATAATTTTTTGTCAGTGATATAAAGATGATATACAGTTTGTAGCTGTCGAGTGGAATAAAGAAATAATCGAATTGAGGATACAAATTCATGGAATGTACAGGGCGGGTCTAAAATTACTATAAAATTGTACAGTGGATTTCTAAGACCAAAATGAGACAATGGAACCGCTATCTAGAATTTCAGTTGAATTTCATTCAAGTTCCTATTTCTATATTTCACTGCAAAACTTAATTTCCATCCAAAATTCGAGTGTTTGAATTGACTTGGTCATTATACTAGATGGAAATCCAGATCCATTGTAGTTTGAAAAACTTCACAAAATGTACCTATATACAGTGTGTCCACTTTAAGGACTTACCACCCCTGTAAAATTGTTATTATCTGACCGATTTCAAAAAACTTTTTTTTTATTGGATAGGTATTTGAAATGCCCATCTAACAAGAGAGTGATTTTACTCATGAACTGTAATCGTGGCCAACTGCGACCAACTTTATTGACCCATATTTGGGAAAGTACTATTAGGGATTTTTTTCACAAAAAACAATGATGGATTCTGAATCACGATCACTTGAAAAATACCTCTACTGATTTTTATCATCATAAAACACAGGGTGTCCGAAAAAAACTAATTATGTTATTTTTTAATAGGTGATCAGAAAATGTAGTATTGTGGTATTTTTGAGATGAATTGATGACACATTATTATTGAGGATCACTTTGAACATATCTGTACCGATTTTCATAATTCAAAAATACGATGTGTATGAGAAAACAATTAAACAGAAAAAGTAGGCAATATTTTTTCATAAACTCAAAAAAAATATTAATTTGATTTTTCGAACTCCCTGTGTTTAATGATGATGAAAATCGGTACAGGTTCATTCCAAGTGGTACTGATTCAGAATCCATCATCAAGTTTCGTGGAAAAAAATCCCTAATAGTACTTTCTGGAATATGGGTCGTTGAAATTTGTCGCAGTTGGCCATGATAACAGTCCAAGTCGTTGGATGGACATTTCAAATACCTACCCAACAAAAAAAGGTTTCTTGAAATTGGTCGGATAATAACGATTTAACAGGGGTGGTAAGTCCTTTACGGTGGACACACTGTATGTAACGTTAGTTGACATCTGTATACATATATTATCTCTTCTAATTTGTTACAAGTAACATTCACTTTTAAAATGTGACACCCCAAGTTCCTTTGATATTCTTGATACTGATGTTCTTTTATTTGTACATTTTTTTTTTAGTCATTGATGTCAGGAAGTTTTCTGCAGATTACTAGCTGGTTTGCTATATAATAATTGTCTATTTCAGTACTTCATTCATACACTGTTGGAAACATAGGTATATGAATATGTTTTAATGAAAACTATTGATATACTGGGTGATACATATTTTTTGAAACCGTTATGAATTGGCATTGAAGATAGACAATATATCCTCATCAATTTTTCATTATTATAGTAGGTACTGAATTAATTGAGAAAAATGTCGTTAATATTGTTGAATCATTTTTTTATTGGGGTGCCATTAAAATTTGGTAGGTACCTACTTGAAGAAACTGCACTCATTTTTGTAAATTTAGTTAAATACTCCTATCCTGTATCAATCGGCATTACATGACTCATAATGTGATTTATTTAGTTTTAATTGTAAATACAGTTTTAAGTTATAATCAGATATAATAATCTTGAAAATCTATTTAAAATAGTTATATTTATGAGTATCTCAGAAAGAGAAGACCTTTTTGGACGCCTTGATAAAACATTCCTTCCCAGTTTTGAAAACAATTAATATATATATGATGTGAAAATCGCGCAAAAATTTGTCATGATCTCGAATTTGTCCTGCAGTAATATTTTTGCTACTTTTTGATATTGAATATTAAAGATTTTTATAAATGAAACATGAATTTTGTGAAAATGAAGATTTATTAGTAATAGCTACAATAAACTTTATTATATGAAAATTGTGTTCTTTCTTCTACACCATGATCCCAATTCTAATGTACTGTATATTTTTTATCTTGAGGAAAAATAACTATCACTATTAACTTGCTATTATTCTAACAAAGTAGAAGACACATTCAATATAATAACCTCAGTTTCGAAAATTATTAATAGTATTATTTCTGAGACAGAAAAAAGTTTGATAGGTATTTAATCTCTGTTGACAGGTTATAAAATGTCACTTTTCATAAATTACTTTTTTTTGTGACGGGAAAAAAGTTTGGCATTTTATCTCTGTTGGTATAGGTTATAAAATGTCACTTTTCATAAATTACTTTTTTCCCGTGGGTAAAAAGTGAGTACTTTTTCCCGGATATACCGGGTGGCTACGGAAGTATTGCCTACGGAATATCTCAGTTATTGTATGAAATAGGTTTGTGAAATTTGAAGCGTCGATATAATGACATAAGAGCTAGAATTTGAGCATATTGACATGTCGAAGTTGACTTCCGGTCTGACCGGAAGTAACATCAACTTTCTTATTTTAAATGGAAACCCTATTTTTTTTCCTTTTTGCTTTATTCAGCATTCAATTCCCTTTTTGATGACATATCACAAGTTGGTGTCTAACCAGAAACTAGATCAGAAAAAAAATAATAATTGGATTTTTTGGTATTTCATTTCAAAAAATGACTTTCTATTATATCATTAGAAAGGAATGGTTATGCTGAATAGTACAGGCAAGAAAAAGTTGTATGTTCCTATTTAAGTTATGGATCTACAGATTATTGTTTTTTTCCCAATTTTTTCAATATTTTTTTTGGCGGCTTTCTATAACGCCGACGAATGAAAATAAAATATCACAGTAGTAGCAACAGTTATCATGTGACGTATGGTTTCCATAGCCAACTTTTCAATTTTTGGCTTTCATTTTGCTTCCACGGCCTACTCGGTGAATTTCAATAATACAGCTACAAAATGTTTAACCAAAACCCAGATTCATAATATACAGGGTGAGTCATGACTAACCAGCCATAGCCCAATGGCGGATAGAGGAGGTCAAGGTGAGTTGATATATATATAATAAAATATTTTTTGCCCATTCTTTACAGAA